ACAATATAATATATACCGATAGGCACAGCGAGTACATCATTATACATACAGATATCTACGTCCTTTAAGCACAAAACACACTCTCACCCACACACAGACATACCACACAGCCACTGGATGCTATGAGCCGAGAGTATCTTCGACAGCAGAATGGAGACGTTCTGCGCTGTCTTGTGACTGACAAGTGAGATGTCCCGTTCTAGTTGCACCTCCATCTTGGCCTTGAGCGCGCTCGTCTGCTTAGCAACGCTGAAGGTGTCGTTCAACTCTCTACGAGATGGGGGTGCATGTATGTGTGTGTATGTGTGAGTGTGTGAGGGGGGCATGAGGGGAATAGTATGGCGTTATGGGTTTGAATGAATGTATCGGTGTATTGGTGCCTATGAGGGATGGTGTTGAGGTGCGAGTATAAGTGAATAGAGCCCTGCAGTGGTACGCCAAAGAGATGGTGACTGCAAGGGGCGATACTACGGCTACAACTACACTCATAGGACAACTAAACCTGCACGAAAGAAATTAGGACAACCACAAACATACAATTCAAATCAGACAAGTCAAAATAGGACAGATACAATCATTCAATTTAAAATAGGACAACCGCAACTATATAATTCAAAATAGGACAACTACAATTAAAGAATTTAAATAAACACCTCTAGCTATTCAGTTCCAAATAGGACAGCTACAATTAGATCATACAAAATAAGAATACCACAGCTCTTCAATGTAAAATAGGACAATGTAAAATAGGACAATTACAATTACAGAATTCAAAAATGAGACATGTACAGTTCCACGACCAAGCTTAATACAATAAGACAGGTGCCACCATACGCCAGTTGCACCAGCGAAGTGGATAGTCACATACTCAAAGTCCATGGCATCAATATGCCTCTCCTCATCGACACTGTCCCAGAAAGTTCCTTTGAGCTGTGAGTAGTAGTTGAGTGTTGTTGCATACATACGTGTAAGTCGAGTATAGCATACATACGTCATAGTTGAGTGTTACATACACACGTTTTATTTGAGTGTTACATACACACGTTTAATTTGAGTGTAGCATACATGCGTTTTAGTTGAGTGTTACATACACACGTTTTATTTGAGTGTAGCATACATGCGTTTTAGTTGAGTGTAGTATACATACGTTTCAGTTGAGTGTTACTTCATACATTTTAGTTGAGTGTAGCATACATACGTTTAAGTTGAGTATAGTATATATACGTTTAAGTTGAGTGTTCCATACGCACGTTTTAGTTGAGTGCTACATGCATACGTTTTAGTTGAGTGCTGCATGCATACGTTTTAGTTGCGTGCTGTATGCATACGTTTTAGTTGAGTGCTGCATGCATACGTTTTAGTTGAGTGCTGCATGCATACGTTTTAGTTGAGTGCTGCATGCATACGATTTAGGTCAGAACTGATCGGTTTCCGCGATTTTAGATGGATTGAGAAACAAACACCGAGAGTGTCAAAAAGTGCCAAGCAAGCTGTCAGAAGGTGTCACTCTAGCCTCAACAGTGCTTGGACCAGTGGTGGATGAGAGTGAGAGAGAAAAAGTGTCAACTGACATGTCATATACAGAATAGAAAACAAACCCGGATACACCCCATTTGTCTACCCAAGCACTGTCGACATACTACACAGATCATATACAGTACAGGACCACCCTGGATACACCACATGTGTCTACCCAAGCACTGTAGACAGCTAGTTACTTCCCCTACATACTACACAGATCATATACTATACAGGACAACCCTGGAGACACCACATGTGTCTACCCAAGCACTGTAGACAGTTAGTTACCTCCCCTACATACTACACAGTTCATGAAAAAGACTCAGAAGAGAAATAGATAGAGGCATCCGTGGGCGAACCTTCCACTTGTCCCTTTGCATGTAA